CAGTATGAATGGATGATGTTTTGATATAGGTTCAGCAGGGCAGTTGAAGTATTCTTTTGTTATAGGGACAATACCATGAAAAAGGCAGTAGAAAATTAACAATTTCACAGTGAGTTTATCATTTGGATGACATGTCTTAAAGGGATCCTGCTAGATATGGAGATAGAAAAAATTTTGAATTAACTTATTCGCCAAATACAACACTGGAATGGCAAAACTAATGTGTAGTCATGTGGTGCAGGTACATTAGAGACACAACTGTGTGGGAAGGTAGATTTGCTATGTATGGTACTTAGGAGTAGGAATTTGTTAGCATTTACATTAAGCTCTGCAAATTGTGAAAGTCTACATTATGATAAACATATAAAGTATATAAAAAGTATACTGGTTTGAGCCAATCAAGTTTTCATTGATTGTATGAATATGTATATATATATTTATATACATTTAGTAATATAGTTAGAGAATTTTCAGATTAGTTGACATATTGAAATGACATGTAAATTCCACTTGAACTACATCTCTTCTTTCAGACATATTATAATAATCTCTAGCCTAAATTCTGCTTCTCTTGGAGTTCTTCAGTGCTTAAACTAGTGGCTTCTGTTTTTTTGGTCATATTTAAATATGGTAATTAAGCATCATAGATGTATTTTTTAAAGTTTAAATCCTTCATTGAAGATTTTTTCAATAGTTTTCCAACATTACATATCAATTAAGTAGTTGACATGCTTCTTTATCTTATAAGGGATTTAGACAAATCAGTAATTTTATAGTGCCACAGTAAAAATCTGTTAGAACCTAATTAGATATACAAAAAAGCAGACACTTTCAACAACTGGAGTGATTCTGTTGATCTTGGGACTCTGTTGTTGCAGAGTTTTTCTCTTTAGTTATTCATCCTGCCTGTTGCTTCAGTTGCCAGAAGCAGAAGCACTTAGAATCCATCTTAAGAAATAAAAGGGAACAGTGCTTGTCTTAATACACAGCATTTGTTGATTTTGCAGAAATAAATATTAGCTACGATGCTTTTCAAATACTCCCAGTAATGAGCTGTGTCAGGATTCTATTTTCAGGTGTTTTTTGATGATAGTGCTTCTTCTGATGACTGGGCCTTGATCTATTTAGCTGTAGAGCAGTAATTTTTTTAAGGGCTGAGCTCTGGTATAAATACTTTCCCAATGAAGTCAGCGAGAAGAACTTCATTCACTGCAGTCCTGCTTTTGAAAATCTAACCTTTAATGTACTTTTTATACTGAGTTTGGGTTGTTTTGTTGCTTTTTGGTGGTTTTTTTTTGGAGACTTCACAAAGTTTTAGAAATAAATACAAAAAGGAATGACTTGACTGGAGGTAAAGACAGTTGTGAAATTATTTTTACTTCGTATTTTACTACTATGATTATAATTGCAGGAATGACTTATAGATAATTGCAGGTAGAAGTAAAGGAGTGAAGTCTGTAGGGAAACATGAGGAAAGTAACATTAATGACTTAGAAATGAATCAAAGTCATAACTGAAAAGCCCTATTTTTGGACATTTTCACTGCTGAGAGTAGCTATCAATGCCCCAATTCAACAACCAAAGAATATTGTAGAACATAACTGAAGGAATAGTGAACTACTAAAAGAAAAACATAGTTCAGGTACAGCAAACAGCATTTGAAACATTTTCAGAATATCTTTGCTTTTCTTTTCTAGATGTATTATGAGTAAGTAGTAAAATAACACAGGGATATTTGGCAGTGCCTCCCTTAAAATCTATGCACTGATTTTTGAGGATACAAAACTGTATCTCTTTGAATGAGGTTAAAAAAGAAGGAGCTTGTCCCTCAGTTTAATCATGTCAAGGTTCTCTTGATTTCATTGTGAATTTCTCTTCTGTTGAAATTCCAGTTAATTTGTCTTGGAAAGCCAGTGCACAGATACTGCCCCTTTGAGAAGCTGTTATGGTGAAGAAAGAAATGTGAAAAACTGGCAAAAAAAGGCAGCAGACTTTTACCCTAAGAAACTGACAACTTGTACACACTCATATGCTCAAAACTGTCTTTACTAAAGGCTGAAAGTTCGTATTACAAGGAACTGCTGATCTTCCAAACATAGCCAGAGTGTGTTAAGGACAGGTCCAACTAGCCAGAGCAGATTTTTTTTATTATTATTATTGTTGTTTTATTTTTTTTTTTATTTTCCAGATTGAAAGAAATGAGTAGGATTTATAATTGCAATTGGCTGGAAGTGCCATGGGGAGATGGAGATTTAGGTATTGTATAATAATTTGTAATTTTTTTTTTAACTTCACCTGTTAATGCAGTGAATATATTTATTCTTTCTTGTTAATACTTACAAAGCAATGATGCTTTGTAATAGTTTGCCTTTCTGGTAAACTATACCTCAGAGAACTTGAAACTAATGTGGCTTCTGTATACAGTTAGAGATACTTTGTATTCAGCATTATCAGGGACAGTATCAGTAGGGAATTAATGCATTATCAATTTTGGAATAGACTGTGTTTGCTAATACTACTGTTACAAACACAGTGAATGAAAGCGTTTATATTTTTGCTAATGACTTCTAAGTGAGAGGCATTGTAATTTGTAGATTAGCAGAAGGCAGTAATCTAGGCAAAGAATTTAAAACACCTTTGATGTTTATTTATGGTAAATATTTATGTTGAACATATTCCCTGTGTAATATGTCCCTGTGGTATTTAATGATGAATTACTATATCAACAAATTAGTTGGAATGTGAATTTTCTTTTTTCAAACTCGGTCAGCACAAAATAGTTCCACAACATTTTGCTTTTAGATTTTATTTGTAGTAGAGATGACACAGGTATTTTGATTTTATGGATTTATCAGAAAAAACTGGCTGCTGAATGTCTCATCCTGATGATAGGGATGTAAGTTGGATCTAGGTGCAAGCCAGAGCTTACAACAGGATCTGGCATCTTTTGATTATCAAATGTCACTGGAGTAATTAATAGACATTCTTCTGATCCATCCAAGATGGAAGGAGGTGAAGGAAATAAAGGTGAAAAATTGTTGCTTTAAGATCCTTCCTGCATCTTTGTTGTGTTTATACATGGCAACAAAAAAGTCTGAAAAGTAAGTGCATTTAATGGGCATAAAAGCTACAATATTCTTATGATTTTATATGATGTTTTTCCATATAATCAGTTAAGTGGCTTTTTTTTTTTTTTTTCCATTGAGTAGGATAAGCTGTCAAGAGAGAGATGTTCTCATCTATAGAGACTGGGGGGCAAAATACCAAAAGCAACCTCTAAATACAGATTTAAACTTGAGGGTTTTTTTCAGCAGTCAGCCAGAGAACATCATAGAACATAACAGAGACATAATAGAAATCTCACTGGTTTTTTTAAAGTCAGGTTTATAAAACCTTCCGCTCATATTTTTAAACTTCTGTGATCAGCTCTATGTAGTCTCATGATAATTTAAATAATCATCTTTGCTTTTGTTTTGCCAAGTTTTTGCTCTCAGTAGTATTCAGTAGTGCTGAGTCACAAAGTGCACTATGTTCTCCAAGATGCCGTCATACGTCTGTGTAAGTTTTAGCCTCATTCACTAACACCAGTGGGAAAATGGAGGTTTTATCTACAGTTTCCTATTGTGCACCATTTCATATGTTTTTAACTAGGCCCTGATTTCTTTTCAGGTTGAGCAGCCTTAATTTTTTTGTCATTCTTGATGTGATCTGAGGGGGGTGTTTATAGTAAACAAAAGGGTACTTTCTGAAACAGGCTAGTGGACAGAAGGAGTCCAATTGGAAACAGAAACAGTGTTTATTTCTGGGGTGTAGTTATCTTAGAGCTTGGGCTGATGACTGCCAGTGATTGAGCAACAGCCTTCACATTTCAGATGCATTGCGTTGTCAGTAAATGCAGCGGCTGGCTCTGTAGGCAGTCCCTGTCCCTGGCAGAGTCAAACCGCACGCGTGGAAGAGTCATCTGCCAGTGTTACCAATTCTGCATTCCAGGCTAATTCTCTACGTATCTTCAGGAATTTTGGGCAGCTTGATATAACTCACACAAGTGATTGCATTAGTATTTTACAGTTCTAGTGATTTTGTTCTTAGAGGAATAAATACTGAAAATTCATAATACATTTTGAAGATGTTTCTTCCTTGCACAGCCTCTCAAAACTGAATTTTCAAAATTCCTGCCACAAATCAGTATCAGGTCTGCCTGCAGCCTTGGCTGGCTAGAAGGGTCCTGTCAGTGTGCAGTCATCTAGAGGAAAGGGCAGGTCCTTCAGCAAGAGCTTCAGGATGTCTCTGGAAGCTGGGTTGGGAGTTATGGAGGGTTATGTGTGTGAATGCAGGATTGTTGTTGGGTTACTATTATTTTTTCACCTTTCTCTTTTGGGGGTGATAAATGAAAATAAAGGCCAAACCTTTACAGAAAACATATCTAATTATTTCTAGGCTTAATAGTTTATGGAATGAGAACTGAGACTGTGTATCTTATTTCTACTATAATAATTTTTTTCACTGTGATTCTCACTGTATTTCTCTCTTTGCACTTGTGTGGTAGCTTCAAATTAATCTTACCATGCATAAAGATTCCCACATTGCTTTTCATATACACCAGCTTCTTTGTAACTTCTTCAGGCAGCTTTCTGTCTGGTTTAAGTCTAAATAATCCCTATATTCCAGCTACAAAGTTTTGTTATGTGTATTAAAAATGAACAATGCAAAAATAGAAGTGGAATATGGTAATTAATGATTTTATTCAACCATATTACTGATATCAATATCTCAATATTTTGTTCTGTGAACAACATAGTGATTTATTAGAGATATTTACAATTAATAATAGAGCACTTTTTTATTGTTTAGAAACTAATCATTTGAGTTTCTAAAGAGGAAAAACTAATTTCATAGGACATTTGACTTCATTCTGTGCATCATATTTTCTGCTTTGCTCTGTGCATTCCAAACCCTTTCTAATTGATATGGCTTATTCAATAACTGTTGTTATTATATAGGTTCTTGGGCAGATCGCTCACCTCTGCATGAGGCAGCCAGTCAAGGACGTCTTCTTTCTCTAAGGACTTTATTGTCACAGGTGAAGACTCTGTTTTTACAATTGCTTTTATTTTATTATTTCATGAATGTTATTTAATCTCTCAGCAGAGATTATTAATGCAGATTTAGTATGCTTTGTTTTGCTTTTTTCACTTGAGTTTTTCAGACCAATACATATTTAGAAATTTTTCATATTATATAGATATAAGCTAGTGTTTAAAATATTTCCTTTGTATGTTTTAACCCTCTCCCCCCTAAAAACCCAAAAAAACTCCAGACACACAAAACAAAATTGTATCTAAATTTATGTCAGTCTTCCCTTCTTCTATGGTATAAATCAATATAATTTCACTGATTTAAGCCTTTGGGTAAATAGTCAGGAAGATACCAGTTAACAGGAAGAATCAATGAAAGGTTCTGGATTTTGCATTGTTGTAATTTAAAAAAAAATGCTAATATCAAAGGGATAGACTGTAAATGCTAAATTTTAATATTATAATATTGTCCTATTACCTATTTCAATATTGAGAAATTATACCATAGAATACATTTGATGAAAACAGGTAGATAAAATTGTTAGTTCTTAAGAATCAAACAACATCTACTGCAAAAAATTTAGAGGGCTTGGTGATTTTCTCAGTCCAGTAAGTGTTTTCTTTGCTAAAATTCATAGCTTTGGATATTTCAGAGCTTAAGTCACAGGATCATAGAATCACATGAGAGTTTAGACTCAGGTCTTTGTGAGGTTTTAAAGACCACCAAGAGTGGAGATGCACCATCCTTTCCCTCATCTGTTTCAGGGTTTCACTGTCCCCCAGTTAAATTTTTTTTCACAAAGCTTCTTGGAATTTTCCATGTTCTGGCTTGGGTCTGTTGCCTTTTGCTCTGTCACTGAGCATCTAAACAGTCTGCATTATTTTATGCCTATTCCTGATTAAAAATAAATTCTCCCTGAGGATTAATTTATTGCAAGTTGAGTTTTAAGCCTAGTTAGAGTATTGTAAATTATTCATTTGAACAGTAGTATGAGGAAATGGCTCTTAATAGGTTTTGTATGATCTTTAAATACCATTTACATCTGTTTTAGGGATACAATGTAGACACACTAACAATTGACCAAGTAACTCCACTCCATGAAGCCTGTCTGGGAGATCATGTAGGATGTGCAAGAATCCTCCTTGAAGCAGGAGCAAATGTAAGGCTTTGGTTTTGTTTTCTTTTATATGAAGTCCAGTTCTATCCTTGGTTTAACTGAGAAGGATATTTATCTTGATTTTAATGTAATTGGTCTGTGCTTACCCTATTGGCTGTGTTTATCTCATGTAATTACAGCTGCCATCTGAATGCTGGCAAATGAGAGTGCTGGGCAGCCACTGAGACAGTAACAATTTGGAGTGAATCTGTTAGCAGAAATTTGTTATTATATTTCTCTTCTAAAATATGGAATGCATTCCTCTACTTTACTTGGTTCCTCTTGCTTTGAGTGGTTTTTAGGAGGTGGTTCTTTTAATCTTCAGAATGCCTGCTGTCACACTGCACCTGTATGGTCTTAAAATTCTTTGGTCTGAGTAGAGAAAAAGCGCTGTCTCTTTTCTGTACTCCTGACATAGGCTGTCTTATCTTTTATCCCAAAATGAAAATGGGACTTTACAGATCAGTTTCAGTGCAATGTCTGCTGACATCAGAGTTCAAGTGCATAGCTTCCCAGGTCTCTGGTCTTTGTAATGGAAATATTTATTGTTCTTAAAATTCAGTTTTCAGAACCATGTGGAATATGTCTGTGTTATTATAGAAAAAGATAAAAAGATACATAGATATTTCCAAAACCAATTTCTCCCTACTTCAGGTAGCACAAGATAAAAAAACTGTAAGAAAAAAATTTCATTTTCCCACCTGGTTTATTTTTAGTATTTTTAATTGTTTTGTTGGGTTCAGGGGGTGCATGAAAGAGGATAGGCCAGAATCCTGGAAGGAGCCTTCTTCCTTTAGTATTATTATTAGTAGTATTATTTCTGTCCCTTTCTTTAGTATTATTAGCCCTCACAAAGTTGCCTACTTTGTCTCCTTACTCTCTCACACTTATTTGGAAATATCCAGTTGAAGAGTGAGGTGGTGAGGTTGCTATTAAAACACTTGAGCCTATGCTTTTAGCTTTGTCTCCATCCTGAGAAAAATCACTTGAACCTGGAGACGAAAACAGAAGAAAATGGCAAATAATCCTCAATTCTTGTCAGAGCTGTGGAGAGAAAATCCCTTTATCCCGTTAGTAGCCAATGTTTAAACTTTCTGTATCAGCAAAACAGGCTCAGTGCAATGATTCTTTTTATTTTAAAATTACTTACTGCCCAGATGTCAATCTTTAGTATTCCAGGTGTATTTATCCAACATAGTTTAACAAGAATAATAGTAAACTAATTCCAAATGAGAAGCAAGGTAAGAGGAAGACAGTTTCACAGGGGCTGGTCAGTTAACTTGTTATTTTAACTAGTACATTTATTTTTTTTTTTCATTTTATGCAATTTATAACTATTTCCTCTTTAAAAATCTACCTTTCTTTCAATTCTTTTTGTAAATAGATTTTATATATTCTAGGTAAATGCTACCACAATTGATGGAGTGACACCTTTATTTAATGCCTGTTCGAGAGGCAGTGCAGCATGTGCCGAGCTCCTGTTACAGTATGGTGCCAAAGCTCAGTGGGAGTCCTGTCTGCCATCACCAACACATGAAGCAGCCAGCAGAGGTAAGAAATTACCTCCTCAATAAACATGGAGCAGTTGAGCAATGTCTCAGCAAGAGGGTTAAGAAATGTGTGTGGTTTTGTCCATGGGAGAGCGTACTGAAGTCGAGCAAACTGTCATGCTTTGTACTGACAGGTCACAGTGAATGTCTGGAGGTACTGATATCCTGGGGTATAGATGTTGACCAAGATCTTCCTCATTTAGGAACACCTCTGTATGTAGCTTGTGTTTCACAGCAGATCCATTGTATTCGAAAGCTTCTTTATGCAGGTATGTCATGATTTAAATAAAAATATTACTGGTCTGTAAAATAAGCATATTGTGCTCGCCTTTGAAGTCAGCTGTGCTCAGCCAATTGAACTGGAACCCTTGCTTGCAGGGTTCTACTTCAAAGTTTATGCTGATTCATGTTTTCTTATAACTTACTATATCTTTTATTTTTTGGTGCCATAGTAAGCATAAGAGGAAAAAAGGAAGCAAGACCAGTAAGAATGAATGTTCAAAATTTTCAGCACATACAGCAGCTTTATAGTATTAATTTTCTTTAGGAAAAACAAGGGAAAAAATGAGCTTTGAGAAATTTCATATAGTAATCATTGAGATTTCAATCAAACTATTTTAGCAATGAAGTCCCACTTGCTTTCATTCTTCAGCAAGTTCTGACTTTTCACAAGGCATAGAGGCTGAGTTGCAGAGGGAAGAGGTGAGGTAAAAGGCATCTGATCCTAAATTTCAGATTATTTATTTAATCAGTGGGTAAGAGATGTTGAAGGCTCGCTCTGTTTCAGCACAAGTCCAGGAACACTACTGTCATAGCTGAAAGACAATTTTCTGTATTTCAGGTATTTACATACAGGGCTTTTGCATCCTGCAGAGCAAGGAATTAAAATGTATATGTGGATAATTCAGCCTTGCTATCATTGAACCAGAATAGTTTTTTTAGTTGATTCCATGCTATATTTAGAACTTAAACAAGCAGTTAAAGTGTTTCTCATTGAGTCCATCTCCTTGGATGATTAATTACCCTATGTCATGATTTTTTATGTTTAAGAACAGCAAAAGTGTAATTAGAATATTTTGGGATTCAAATACTACCGTACAGAAAAAACAGTAACTGAAGGGCATATTCTACATTTGCTGGTGCCCTGAAGTAGAAAAGGGTACTGAGGATATAAGTAGCTATTTATTTAAGTTAATTTTTTTTCATATTTTATCAGTTTGTGAGAATGTATTAGAAGTTAGAAAGCAGATAGACAATGAAATAAGCAAAAGCATGGTACTGCAGAAGCATGTGCAAATTGTTAATGTTAAGAAGAGTGAATTATTCAGACTTCAGACCCAATTGCTAGACCTGTGACATTATTAACTTATTTTACTCAAATGGGCATTTAAAATGCAAAAAGTGTTGATTTAGGGAGGAGAGCTGGTACAGAGGGCAATTTTTGGTCTCACAAGGTCAGTAAGAAGTCTGAAGAAGGCTTGGTTTTAGATGAAGCAACAGCTTGCCTGCAAGGGAAATTCTTCCATACTAGCTAGTTTAGTTTAACTCATGTATGGATTTTTTTTTCTTGAATATGAATGCATTAGTACAAATTAATTTAGGCCATTTTAATTTAAAACATGTTAACAATTACCTATTAATATTAAAGTGTAATAATTAGAACCCATGGATTGGGAGAATTAATGATTTAGGGTTTTTTTTTCCTATTAGCTTTCTTGACTGTGCATCTCACCTTAATTAAAATTAAAAAAAAAAATTATAGATTAATAAAAAAAGGTTAGATGGGATGGCAATCTATTTCAAACCCTTTGCAAGCTTCAACATGTGAAAAATTATAAAGTGTCCAAGATTCTTTCTTGATTTGGTGTACTTACAAAAATGTACATACAAAACTTCAGTTTAGTGTTTTGTTGGTTTTTTTTTAAGACTCAAATAAAGAAAATATGTTTTTTATGTAGTGAAAATTGTCTTAAATGTGTACAAAAAGTGTTTTATTGTGATTAGGCAATAGTGATGCTCATGTTCTCTGACTGGTACCTGATACCTCTTAATCTGTTTGTACTTAGTACTTAGGTAATAAAACCTAGGATAAAAAAAAAAAAAACCCAAACAAAACACTTACGTGATTAGTTATAGATCTATGCAATAAAATTAATGAAGTGGCTAAATGCACTCTGGTATTCCAGGCCAGTGGTGGTTTTTCTTTGTTTTGTAGCCTTGTCTTTCTTACTCAATGGCAAATTTAATTATCTTCTTACGTCTCTTTATGTGCATCTACCCACCAGGTGCCAATGTACAGAAAGGAAAGAATTTGCAAACTCCACTCCATGCTGCTGCCCAGAATTCTAGTACAGAGATTGTAAACTTACTCCTCGAATTTGGGGCAGACATAAATGCCAAAAATTCAGATTTTGAGAGGCCTGTTGATTTAGCTGCCCCAAGCAGTTTAGTGGAGAGACTGCTGCTCTTCCACGAAGGTAAGTTTTACATGTTTATATTTGAAACTGAAACTTGTATTATTAAAAAAAACAAACCCACCTAGAAAAACCCCCAACTTAACAGTCCAAACAACCCATGTTATAGAAGGTAACACTGTGCTGTATGAAATGAATAGATGAGCATTCAGGTAATTTCCTTTCTAACTACAAACATACTCAGCAATATTTAGCTTCAGGCCAGAGCCCATTGACCAAGCAGCATCAGAATTTATACAAGCTGAAAAAGTATAGTCATATGTTTATTGGGTGTTTACACAAGTAGACATTAAAGCTACATTTTTATTCATTTTTACAGACCTTGTTAAAAAGAAACAGGTTAAATTTCAGGTTAAAATATTTCATTTTGGTCAGCTGTCATAATATTTTTAAATATATATTTTATGTTCATATAAAACAAATTATTTTGATTGTGGGCAAAAGGCATAAGAAGTGTAATTTTCTAAATTTTCTTAAAAAAAATTATAAAAACCTGAGAAACAGGAGACTAAAGAGTCTATAGTCCCTCAAGCCTCTTAAAGGTCTATCTGCTTTGGAGAGAGAGAATATTCCAAAGGGAGCTGGACTTGTTCAGACTAAACTATGTAGAATGTAAAAATAAGCCACAAGAGAATGAAACTCCTTGAATAACCATGGGCACCTCTTTAGAGGTGAACTGACAAGTAAGACTGATTCATATTTTCCTTCGAAAAACCACTCTGTAGTCTGAATGCTATTAACAAAACCCCTCTAAAAACTGTCTATTTTCACAAATTTACTAAGACTAGTAGTGTTTTTAAAAGTTAGAGCAAATAAAAAAAATTACATGGCTTGAAACAGATATAGGTTTATTGTCCAGAGAAAATAGCAGTGTTCATTTTGAAGGAGTGGGGGTTAGAGTGGTAAAGACATGATTAAATAGTAAGACCACTAAATACGGTCTAGGATCTTGGAGTATTTTGCCTGGTTATTCTTGTTGCAGTGATGCATTGGTAGTGCTGTAGCAGGTATGTAACCTGTTCTGTGAATAAAAAACCCCAAAACAACAAGTCTGCAGGTTTTAAAGTTATTGACTTCAGATATTTTCTTGGAGCTGGTTTTTAATTTTAAAAAACTGACCTTGGCTTGCTTTCTTTAGTATTTCCCTACCTATTATTAAGGTTTAAGCAGCTCCAGTCTTTACCTTTGAGGGAAGAAAGGCAATAAAGGAAAGGGAATGAAGAAAAAGGTCAAATTTGAAAAATGTGAACTTTTTTAAATTTTTTTTTTTTTAATCCCATTATTGTGCAAGACTGTTGTAAAACAAAATGCTGGCTTTTATAGTTGTACAATTGAACTCTTTTCTTTATTGTTTGCAGCTACACCATCTTCTCTTTGTCAGCTCTGCCGACTATGTATCCGAAATTACATAGGAAGAGCTAGACTGCATCTTGTTCCACAGCTCCAGTTGCCAACAATACTTAAGAATTTCTTACAGTACAGATAACATAGTAATTAACTGATAGAAACTTAAATATAGCAAGTACATTTTCTTCTCTCTGTTTATTGTATGTTTTATCTAAAGAACTGCTGGGCGGAAAAAAAAAAGCCTTTTGCATATTGCTTAAAAAAATTGTATCTTTGACACCTGGTGTTGGTAATGTAATAGTAATTGGGAGCCATTCAGCAACTAGTGCCAAGGTGCTAATCCAGCTGAATTAAATAAGTGTGCTGATACTCTGGGACATGATTGTATAACTTTATCTTAACCCTTAATAGCTTTAGTGCTGTTAACTTTAATTGTGTTCATGTTTTTAAAATCTGTTTGACACACCTGAACCACAAAGAGTTTCTTCATTATTATTTGTTAAGTTTGTCCATTTGTATTTTTAAATTTCTGTTGTTTGTGTACCTAAAAATATTTGGTGATGGGTGCACTATATGCATTGATAAAAATAAAACAATTAGACTTTGATTCTTTTTCTTTATATAAACAATTCATTAATCACAGTGAGGAGCTTCCTTTACTCTTCCTCACTGCCTGTGCTGTGAATTGTAATTAAACTGATGTGAACACAAACTTAATTTTTTGTAGAATTCTGTTTATTGGTACAATTAGTAACTTACTTCTCAAAAGCCTTACCGCAGAGATACTTTTGATATACTCCTGTAAAACAGAATTACATGGAAACTTCCCTTATCTTTTCATAAAAATGCTGTATCACAAGCATTTAATTAGCATATTAAATAATTATTTGCCTCAGAGAGAGGCATATTTTAATGTGTAGTATCTGTGAGCTTTCTGAAGTGGAGATGTGGATACTGAATCCACAAGCTCGAGTTCAGGAGGTGATTACAAGGTTTCAAACATGTCAGTTTTCTGTATCAAGATGGGTATATCTTGATAAGGACATTACTTCTCTTACTATCCGTTTTGTAAACATTTACCTAGCTCCAAAAATCCTATTGCAAATTCCCAGAATACCCCAGCATGCATTTCTGTGAAAAGGTATTGTTCAACTCTAGCCAGAGATGGAATGGTGACACCCCCAAGAGACATTAGAAAAGCCTAGGGCTTTGCTCATGCCCTTGAATTTTTGATAATTGTGATCTGAATAGATGAAAATGCAGCACTTATCCTTCCCCACTTCTCATTTGGTGTTCCTTTAAGAACAGATTACATTCTCAGTGACTGGTACTCCCTACAAACTAAAGCATGGGACACCTGAAAACTTGCCATTTGTCTTTGGTGATTCACCCTCTTCCATTCCTTTTCAGTGACTCCTTTCAGTATTTATGTTTCTACTGGAAAGATGCTAAGTGAGGAACTAACTGTAGAGGAAGCTTTCACAAAGAGGAATGCTTACTCAGTTGCTAAATTATATGCACCTAATAAAAAGTGTTGTTGTCTCGACACTGTGTTAAATAACCTTAATTTGTTTCTGTTCCCTGCAAAACCTCTAGTTAGGGGTCTTTTCTGGAGAAGGAAAGTCAGATACAAATATGAGGAGCTGCTTAGGAGTCCATCATATCCTAAGTCTGTACTGGGGTGAGTGTAGTGTTTTTTGTTTTCATCCAGGAATCAGCAGTTTGTGTTTTTAGGTACACTATTACTGTGTGTTACTTTGACAAACAAGCCAACTTTGAACTGCCAAGCCAACCACAGCACTGTTGAACCTTTCCACGTAGAATGAGCTCATTTAGAGCCCCACCTTCAGGTGTACACATTGCTTTTCAAGTTTGATCCAAAGTGGCAAAAAAAGCTCTCATGTTCTATACACCTGTATCAGTTTGGAGCAAACATGGCCATTCTGCTGTTCGGAACACAACTAGATAATGTTAAAATTTTTGCTAAGAGTCACACCTGAGTCCAAACCATCTCATTGCAAATAGGTGTGATCATGCACTTGTGGCATTTGCAATATCTATTCCCACCATCCCCCCTGATCCCTGCCACCATCCAAAGAGCAAACAAGACCATCTTTGTCGTTTACAAGTATTTGGTGCTATTTTTTTCTGTAATTATACAGAATAGGAGACTAGTCAAAAGAAACTGGCTTTTGGTAATACCATTACTTTGATCTCAGGCAAGAGGCACTTTTCAACATAAACTTAAATCTTTTGTGAACAGATAATTACGTGAAAATTGAGTTCATTTTGGCAAGCTGAACCGAGTTGGATGGGGCATTGTTTCTGTTACTATGTGACAGGGACAAACAAAATAGGGAATAGATGTTGTTGGCCTGGCAGGACTATGTACTGGAACAGGTTTCTGGCAGATCAGAGCATGCTATTGCAACATACTAAAAACACAGAGCAATGAAATACCTGGTGTTAGTACTTGGTAAAAGCCATTCCAAAAATAATGCCTTGTTTAGCCAGAAATGAAAGGAAACAGGTTTGTTACTGTTCTCGTGCTGTGAGGGCCATATTCCAATGTGGCTTTGATTGGTTGAATTCTTAGTATGAAATAAATGTTAAGTAATGTATTAAAATACTGTGAACCAGGATTTGAAGCAAACATTCACCCAGGTCAGAGCACTGTTAAAGATTGTTCCAATAAAGCCCTTATTAAATGAATTGTTATACCAGTTAAAAAGTGTTCTAAGGCATTTTCAGGAAAAAAAAAAAAAAAAAAAAAAAAAAAAAAAAGAAAAAAAGAAAAAAGTAGTGTAGTATGTCAATTCTGGAAAGAAATCAAGCAGTGAAATCCTGTAGGCTTGTTGAAAGTATTCCAGAGACCCAGAGTGGCTACCTCACTAGTGGGTGAGAAAGCAGGTAGAATACAATGATACACTATTCTCTTTGTGTTTCTCCTGGGCCTGTCCTGGGGTTGGGGGCCGCTTGGCTCTGGCCATGCCCACTCCAGCATCACTGGCCCAGCCTGGCGAGAGCCCCACACAGGGTGGAACAAACAGGGCATCATTCCAGTCCACAACGTGGGTTTAAAGTGCCAAATCTCCTATCTCAGACTGCAGCTGCCAGTGAAGCTGTCTCTGAAGCTTATAAACATGTCAGCACTGTTGGACAGATTATTTCCATAGAACAATGGATTTGGTTTCGCAGGGATGTTGAACATAACTGAGATTTAATAGTAATTGGAAAGCAGTAGCTGTGTAGCTTCATATGTTTTTTCATTTAAATGGAAATATGACTTTTACAGAGGAGTCAAACAGTCTTTTGAAGACAAAGTATTCTTTAATATTAAGGGGAAGATACCTGTATTTGACTTGCTGTACTAGACAATGAAGCTACATATTAGCAAACAATCTGAAATTATTTTTGAAAAGATGAACTAGTTGACAGTTGCAACCACAGCTGTAACAGCAGACACAATTACAACCTTTTCTGCATATTCCCCTCACTCACCACTGTACAAACAACTTTAAGGAAAATGCAACCTCATGTTATTCACAATGACTGTTACCTGATGGTTCCCCAATATAAAAAAAACCACCCTTTGACTTAATTTTTATTACTTTAGTAAGGATCTTAACCCTTACTCTGTAATTTAGAGGGAGTAGATTTGCCCAAGATTCCATGTTAAGGCACAATTTATGTGCAACACATTGATGTAGTTACACTACATATTTAAGATATTTTAACTGTGAAATATTAGTAAAAATACTTGTGATACAACAAAAGATTTTAAATATAGTAGAATGGTAGTTGAGTCAATGCTTCAGATCCCAATCATCAGTCATGGGGCTGTGTGTTCAGTTCTTACCTTTGCTCTCCACCTCTGTATCAACAACTTTTACATATCAGGTTGTATGATTTATGTATTAAAAGACAGGTAGTCTTTCATTTGACAGAAGCAAGATCAAATACTGACTGCTGGAAAATTCTTTCAAAAACTATGAATTTTAACTTCTGAAACTGAATTCTTCTTCTGCAAGCTCCATGGAACAAACAAAGGAAAACCATTTTCAAAGAATACTTGCAGGAAATAAAAGATTTGGTTCGAGCACCCAAGTACATACAAATATGGGGATTTTAGGGTACAAAACAGCTGTATTCCCTCCACCCAATATATTCTTATATCAGAAACCCTGTAATAATACTCTAGAACATTGCCAGAGTTAAATTTTGCCATTTTAAAGAGGGAGGGAAGAAAACAACCCAGGATTTTCTTTTATTTGTAATCTCCTTTCCAGCATGGTGGCATTGTTATTTCTATAGTTAAATCAGGGCAAGGCTTACCTCTGTATTGAGGATTGTTTGATAGGATCTGCTAAATAGAGACCTGATACTATTTACAGTTTTACAACAGTTGCTATAGAAAAAATTCTGCCAATTTTTAATTACAGCCTCTTTACTTTTCATATAACTATCAGGAATTTAAATAAATTTAAAAATTTGTTTTAAAGCAGCAGCAAAAAATGTAGGAACAGATAAAGCAGATTTCTGCTTATGTGCCATCAGTTAAGCTAATAAAGAGTATTGTAACCAAGGCATCTTTTCTACAGGTGAGCAATTCTGATTATAAGAATAATTAATAATAATAATATATTACTTATAATTAAATTCCATACTATACACACCTTTAAAGTTTAAATATTTTTAGTATTCTATTGCCATAACTGTTTTTCCATTTGAGCGCAGATTTAGTAAATAAAAATATATATATGCACAAGTATTTATTTCTGGTCTGTCATACCATATGCATGTTTATAACTAATACAAAATGTAAAAAGAAAACAAGCATTTAAAATGTACATAGCATAGTTAAATAACTTCAATAAATATGCTGTTTGTTCCTTACAAAGCCTTTGTTTAAAAAAAAAAGTTTATAAAGAGTTTTAGCCTCTAGTGAAAGTATAACAGGGAATGTTGCCAAATATGATCCTATTAGAAAATAGAATTTTGTAATCTAGATAATCTAAATAAATAGATAATAAATAGATATTTATTTAGACAAATTTATTTGTCTAAATAAAAAAAACAAAAGTGACCTTCTATTTGTACTGCTATTAAAGCATAATAACAAGTGGATGAAACAAAGCATCTACTCTTTAAATTTTACTTTTGCTATAGAACCCTACACATAAAAATTAGTTTAAATTAAAAAGGGGGACAGTGTGAAATAGCCAAAATATTTCAGTTATTCTAAAAACAGGTTGCAGTTGCTGTCAATAAAGTCATATTTGGAAGAGTATTTATGGGTTTCACAGTTTGTTATCAGTATTTTGGTAATGTGTAGATAGTTGCTTACTTTACTAAGCACCTATTTACACAGAGTTGACAAAAATAATTGTCTGACGACAATATTCTTACTAAAAAAATGGCATGGCTATATATGAAATTAGGACTTTTTCTTTGGATTATCAAATAACTTTTTTTCTTTGGATCCTCAACAAACATTTGTATAGAAATCCTTTCGTTCTCATCCTATAATTTTCAAAGTTCAAGTAACTGACCTTCAGGAGGAATCAACTACCACCTTTCTGTCCTTTGACTATCAAGGTTAAATCAGCATTAACCCCCAGAGTGTTATTTTAAGCACTGTAAAGTACAGAGGAAACACCTCATCAAAATGGGTTAAGTCGTATTCCTGTTCCTAATGGTGAAAAAGGATTTGCTTTGGCCCACATCAAAGCATCGTTTAGTGAAATAGCAGATTTTCCATCTTCAAGGAAGAACACAGGACCCTGTAAAGCAAAAATGTTTGGGAAGGGAAAGAAAAAGAAATTATACATGTATTGTATAAAGGCCACAATAGAAAGCACATTTTATCTGAGAAGAACATAAAAACCTTGTTTAGACCTATCCACTATGCTCACACAGAGATTTTTCCCCACTCACTTAGAACTTTGATAACAGCTACACATTATGAATTGAGGGCACTTATGCTCCCAAATCTGTCAACCCAACTTCTCATAATGTTTAAATTTTTAGTTTTATGTGTTTTGTTGGTATTTTCTATACGCTTGTCAATGATTCCAGAATTAAAATTATCTTGAATTAGAAACTGAGGTAACAAACACTTTTCTTCTGAATACCGTCCATATTTCATCATGTCTGTCATTATTTCTGCTGATCTGTGCTTTTTCCTATCTGCAAAAAAGCCCTGATATAATGCCTCTATAAATTGTTTGAAAACAGAGTCTACATGCAGTCCACAGAACACTTTGAAATACTCACTATGAAAAGGAAAAAGTACTTGTTCATGTGATGGAAGAGCTATTTGCTAATTTATTAATTTGACAAAATCTGCTCTTAAAGCTGCATTTCAATTTCAGTGCCTTCTTAAAGAGTTATGCTCTCCAACTTTGCTACGTAAAACTTGTCAAGCCATGCAAGTAGGCTGCTCTACTTTAGTATTAACTGATTTTGATTGTTGAGCTGATCTGCATGCCTAAAGCCATGACTCCTAATGTATGCTAATCCAGAAATAAGGATCCTGTAGATGAC